CATTGAGGCTTATCGACTGATTTCTGGGATACTGGGATTGTTCTTCGAGGAGAGATTGAAGTGACTGGACTGTATTCTCGAGTTTGGAAGAATGAAACATCACCTCACTGAGGTGTTCAACATTCTTACAGTGAAGGCTTTCTTTCCACAGATGCTGCCAAACCTGAGTTTCTCCAGTAATTTCGGTTTTTGTTTCAGATTTCCATCATCTGCAGTTCTTTATTTCATTTTATGGGTACAGGAATTAATGTTTACCTTGACTGGCAACATCAGGGAACACTTAAGACTCAGAATAAGGAGTGATGGATTCACTCAGAAGGTGGTGAATACTCTAGCCTTTGAGGCTCAATCACTGTGCATGTTCAAAACAGTAATGGGTAGGTTTTTGGATGTTAAGACATGAGGTGTATAGGGATAGTGAAGGAAAATGGTGTAGTGATAGAAGATCGACCATCTTTTCTTTGAATGGCAGAACAAGTCTAATCCTGCTATTTACTGTGTTCCTAAGTGACAAAACTTGATGTAACGTCAGATTATATATGTACATTGACAACACCCTGTTCTACCTCTGCACAACAGTCGGTGTCATTGTTTTTTAAACACACTTCCTTGACTTTCAGTTTCTCCCATTTAAACATAGGAACGAAGTCCATGGATTTAATAATCCCAAACTTCTAACACTACAAATGCAGTTCTCTCCCTCCCCGTTCTATCTCTCTCAGATTGAAGCCAACTGTTTGCAATCGATTTCCACCTTCAGAATATTTGCCATCTACAACCAAACCTGGGCCCTGCTTCTACCAAAACCTTCAGTCTTGCTTTTGCCATCTGCTACCTTTAACAGTTCTAATACTTTCCTGGCTAGCTCCTGCCTTTCACCTAGCAGAAACTTCTGCTGCCTGCGTAACATTAAGTTAAAGGAATGATGATGAAACTTTTTGTTCTCATTGCCTGCTGTGGCATTCAGCATTATTTTATGTTAACATAGCTTTACAAGTGTAAGTTGTGAAAATTGTTGTTCAAAAATAGTAGAATCAATTTGCTATCATTAGAATGTCTTCATTTGCTAATGCTACTTGGGGGTGATATGAAAAAAAAAGTATGGAACAGAAGAGTTACTCTGCTTAGGAGCTCTGGTATCCACTGGTAAAAGCTGCTTCCAGTTTGCTTGACAAAGTGGTGGGCAGAGCCAACAGTCAAAGTATACGGGAGCTAGTTAGAATCAGACATCCTGAGGATGTCAGCAATAGTAAGACTAATCTATTATTCCATATCAAATAGATGAACAGCTCGTGTGTTCCACAGTAAATTTCCTCACATTCTGATAAATCACAACCGAGGTTGCATATAAAGCCCTTTGGAGTCATAGTCATACAGCACTAAAACAGGCCCTTCAGCCCAACTCATCCATGTCAACTAGGTTTCCTAAACTGAACTAGTCCTATTTGCCTGCTTTTGGCCCATATCCCTCTAAACCTTTCCTATCCATGTACCTGTTCAAATGTCTTTTAAATGTAGCAATTGTATTCACCTCTATCACTTCCTGTAGCTTGTTCCATAAATGCATCACCCTCAGTATGAAAAAGTTGCCCCTCATGTCCCTTTTAAATCTTTCCTGTACAAGGTCACCCCCAGGCACCTACGCTCCAAGGAAATAGTCCCAGCCCATGCTTATAACTCAAACTTTCCAATCTCAGTAATATCCTCAAATTTTTTTTTGCACCATCCTCAGTTTAATAACATCCTTCCTACAGCAGGGCGACCAGAATTGTATGCAGTACGCCAAGTGTGGCCATACCAGTGTCCCAACCCCTGTACTCAATGCTCTGGTCAGTGAAGGCAAGTGTTCCATTCATCTTTTCACCCTGTCTACCTGTAACGCCACTTCCAAGGAAGTATGTACCTGCACTCCTCAGTCTCTTTGTTTGACAAAAGAGTATTTCTTAGTTTTGCTGCAGTCAAAGCTTTAAGTATGATTTCTTATTTCTTTACTGTGATTGTTAAAAAGAGAAGAATGTAGTTTTAGATTCATTGTGGTTGTGTCTGGAAATTAGGTTGCATGCATTTAAATGAGGTCTTAAAAATATTGAGGTATATAGTTCAGTGCTTTTAAAAAACAAAGATAGAAAAGAGGAAATAATGGCTATTACCAAACAAGACAAACCAGATTCCTTTCCTTTAAACACTTTTTTTAAAAAAAGTGTTAAAGAACGGTAGAAAGTCAGGGGGTGTGCAGGTTTCTTCCAGTGAGAAGTATCATCAGTTTAGAGGTCTCACAGTCAGGGCAGAAGAAAAGAATTCTTCAGTGAACTGTGTTAGTTGTTTGTTCAAGAATTTCAAAACAAGACATTGTTATCTTCTTTAGTCATTGAGTGATTATAGATGTTTCCAAAAAGCAACCACATACTGTAAAGTTCCTTTTGACTGGAAATTAAAGTGGAAACAGTGTTTCCGCCTCCTTCCCCCCCGCCACCGAGTTTGAGTATAGAAGCACCTACAGTGTAGTTAGAGGCCATTCGGTCTATCAATTCTGCACTGACCCGTCCGGAGCATCACAATCAGACCCAGCCTCTTACCCTATCCCTGCATTTACCATCCACCTAGCCAGCACATTCCTCATCACCATGCACACTGTAGCATGGCCAATCCACCCAACCTGCACATCTTAGAATGGTGGGAGGAAACCAGAGCACCCGGTGGAAACCCATGCAGACATGGGAAAATGTGCAAACTCCCCACAGACAATCACCCAAGTTTGGCATCAAACCCAGGTCTGTGGCACTGTGACGCAACAGTGCTAACCACTGAGCCAATGTGCTGTTGTTATTGAGAATAAAAAAAGGTTGAATCTCTGTTTTAGATGATGTGTTGAAAGAGTTTCAAATAATTCCTATATGGCATAGCGTTTTTTTAATCCTCCTTTGTGTGTAATAAACTTTGATGTTTTTTGTTAACAGTACATTAGCAGCTTGTGGGAATATGTTCAATGACTGACAACCATGGAAAGCAAATTAAAAACAAAGCTTATGGTCTGTCAAACCAGATTTCACTCGGATTTGAGTTGTCCAGTTTTACCATCACCTGAGTTCATAACTTCAAACCGGGCAGTTGGTGTATCATTATTTGGAAAGATAGTCTCACAGTCAGCTCCTTAACACAATCTGGTTGGATGATGTATCTCCATTTACTCCTACACAAGTTACAATGCACTTGAATCCATTATTTTTCACACAAGGTGGGTGGAGGTAATGTTTTCACACTGTATTAGTCTGTCAGCAATCTATGTTTCAAAATCAAATGGATGGATTTCAGTTAAACTTGGTACACAATTACAATTTGGCTCAAGGAAGAATCAGTTTGTTTTTGGCAAAAGTTATGAATCTGGAACCTGAACTCTCAAAAGATCTACAAATTTTAGAAGTTGGAGCAAGTTTATTGTTTATTGAAATGTGGGTTATTTTGTTTAGAATGTGGTTGATTGTTATAAAACCTTGTAACTAGTCTCAAACACCATGGTGGAATTTAACAGCTGTCAAATTACAAGCAGTTTTAACAGTAAACTGCTCAATGGGGATTAGCCAAGAGTATCATCTGTGATATGGACTGTTAGTCAGAAGGTTCCTTTAAAAAATTCACTTCTTTAGAATCCTAGAATCCTTACAGTGCAGAAGGAGGCCATTCAGCCCATTGAAGCCACACTGACCTTCCATTGAGCATCCCACCCTATCCCCATAACCCTGCACTTACTATGGCTAATGCACCAAACCTGCACATCCCTGGGCACTACAAACAATTCATCATAGTCAGTCCACCTAACCTTTGGACTGTGGGAGGAAACTGTAGCAACCAGCAGAAACCCAGATAGACAGAGAATGTCTGTGAAGTTTGCAGTCACCCAAGACAGGAATCAAACTCCGGTCCCTGGTGCTGTAAAGACAGCAGTGTTAACCACTATGCCACTTTGTCTGCCCCTTGTTCTTCAATCTCTCCTGAGATTAAAATTAAGCTTTTTCCAGAAAGTAGAAGGGACAAATGACATTGATACTGACATTTAAAAAAAAGGCATGCATATGTTACTGACTTGGAAAATCCTGCACCAGTTACTTCATCAAATCTTGCATCTAGCTCCTTTTTTGACCTCCTCTTATGTGTAAAGTGAAATTTCTTAAGCCTGGTAAACTCTTAAATGGATAGCTGGCATTAAAATATAATGCATTTGCTTTAAGAACAAGTAGTCCTTTAGTAAGAATTAGACAGCAGGGAGAAATATGGGGAAACAGTTATTATATTGGAAGTCCTACAGTTGAAGATGCAGTAATGGAGAGAAGTGCTACTGTACTTTAAAACAAATGCTCTGGTACTTTGAGAGTTGCCAAGAGAGGATGAAATCTATTGCATCTGAATGAACTGAAAACAAAATTTTCTGGTATGGAACAGTGCAGAAATAATTTGCAGGATGCTTTTGGAACTGGTACTGCAGTTAGAGATTATTTGCATGCAGCATGGAACACATTGCTGATTAGGGATCAGACTGGCCATAGGATGAGCAACTTGATGGAGGTTGACAGAAATACAGTACATTGAATTTTAGGGAGCTTTAGAACCATTACAACCAGCAATCAATAGAATTTAGTTCTGACACATGAACAGTGTTTCTGCAGACTATGTCATTATGAGAAATACTGACCTTCTGAATAGATTAGAATGAGTTAAAGCACCTTTTTACAAGCATGTAAGACCACAGTTCTTGCTCCACACCCCACGTGTGAAAGTAACATTCTCCTCTTGCTATTGTGATCTGCATGGAATCATTGTGGTAGATTTAATTTGAAATATACAAAAGTTCCTATTGACTTTCTAAAAGAGTGTTTATGGACTGGAGATTATTATTTTGTTTATTTTAATGGAATTGCCTCTGCTATGTGTTTTCTAAAAATGTCTTCATTCATAAATGAATCAGTAATGTGTGTTAATATCTAAAATTTTTGTTTCTACTTTAGCTATGTAGGAGTAAGTAGTTTTCTACGGGGAGTATTTACCTGGCCCATGAATTTTGAGTGGAAGGCGATACCTGATGAAGTTATTAAAAAATATAATCTAAAAGAAATGGACCCAATTAGGTAAATTGAGAAAATTGTTGATAAATTTTTGCAATTCCTTGTAAACATCTTTGAAATTGTCCTGTCTGTAAACTCCTCATTTGAGCTGTTTAAGAAAGCCAGAACGAAAATGACAAAAACCTACTTCCATGATAATGTTACATTATAACTTGATGAATCCTACAAATCTTACTTGCTAACTATCCAATGTAAGTTATTGCCCAGCATGCTCTTTGGAAAGTAGGCTGCAGTTTGGCACTTTGTCTATTCCTCCTGTGCTCATCTTTATTGTTTCTAGCCCTGTTCTTCTAGCAGCCTGTTCTATTTGTTCCCTAGCCTAGCAATCAATAGATATTCTAGCATAGAGGGAAGTTACACATTAGGACCTAGTGCAATTCCTGGTGTAGCACACTGAAGAAGTTACCCATAAAATTGAAACTTCCCAATGCCTGAACTGGTCTAAAAGTTTCCACTTAAATGCAGAATTGGGAGGGTTCCAATGAAATGAGGTGAGTAGTTATTCATGAAAGGTCAGACTATTACATATATAGTCTAACTCCTGCATAATTATGCAACAGACCCTATACATAACTTACACGCCCACAGACATCCACAACCTCTGACAACCTTCAAACCAAATCTCACTTCCCTTGCTGCCAGACTTTGACATCCCTTACCCCACCACCTAATGTGCTCCCTTCTTCCCAGCTGCACACCTAAACTGACCCCTTTCCCCCAATGCAACTGCTACCAGACCCAGAACTCCCCATAGTTGACACCCACCCTTTCTGCTCCCCAGCAGCCCTAATTTTGCCCATGGGTCCCAACCTACCCTACCACACTCACCTGACCACCTTGTACCCCAGTACCTTATACACTTGGCAGCCTACCTACACCCCAGCTGGTACCCTACTTTCCTAGCTCCCTGGCACTCTATCCACTTGGCACCCTAATTAGCTATCACCCATAGCTATATCCATCTGGAATCCTACTGCCTGACACCACACCTCTACCCACCTGACTCTACTAGCCTGATACCCTACACCCATTATGCACCTTACCCTCCCAGGACCCCAACATCACACACCTTATGTACCAACTATTTGATAGCAGCTGTCAGGACCTTTAAAATTCAAATATAGCTGCTGACTACTGTGAAAGAGGTGCATGGCATGCCTTCCTGACAATTCTGCATTATGTCAGACTGGAAGTGTGGCTCTGCACTTCTGAAGGAACCTTACTTGGAGTTGAGATCGCCTCACAGAAGTGTAGGCCTCCCTTCTTTTGTAAGGAAAAGGAGCAGAGTGGTTTTCTGTATGAGATTGCCGCCCCTCAGAAAATCCATCCTCCACTTATCTCATTGAGTACTTTTCTGTGACAGTATTAATTTCCCTCTAGTCAATTTTCAAGGAAAGGTGTTTAATGACAGAGTCAGAGAGTGAGTAATGTTGGAACCATTCCTTAATACTGGCTACATGCTGTTTGGTGTATTATCCAGGTGAAATTATGGCTGCAGTGATAATAATGCAATCCTCCACTTTTTATGTTGTCCAAAAAGCTGATAAATATGTAACACTGCTTTAAATCTATAATTATTTGCGTTTTAGGTGTCCAATAATGGCAGGAGGATTATTTTCCATTGATAAGAAATATTTTTACGAATTGGGTACTTACGATGCAGGTTTGGAGGTCTGGGGTGGAGAAAACATGGAGCTGTCATTTAAGGTATCATCATACCCCTTTCACCAGGAGTTCAAATTATGTTTATTGTCAAAATTTAAAACTTTTAAAGTTGAGTGTAATTTTCTAACATTTTAAGAGAACCAAAACCTGTCCTCAACAAGGTGAGCTGAAGTAGACTAATTTCTAGGCTCAAGTGTATCAAACTTTGGATACACCTGAATACAAGTATTGAGAAAATTGAAGAACTTTCTAATTCAGAAAGTCATTGTTCTTCCTCTTTGGTTTCTCTCACCTACCTGTGTTTTCTTTTAGAAAAAAAATACTTTTAAAATAATCATCTTAAGCAAGGCTAGTAATAAAGATTATTGTGCATACACTAAAGTGATCAAGTAGTGAGAAGGAAGAGGAATATTAACAATGGTATCATCATTAAGTACACAATCAAAAGGCTGACTTACTCAGTTTAAGACATGAGGGTATGCTTGAAAAAAATCATAGCTAGATGACAGACAACCAGAATAGTGAAGAAAATTTTATATAAATTGATTTATTTTGAAGTGTTACAGCAGTTTGGGAAGCAGAATTGATTGAATTATCAAAGTTTCTCCAGATTGCAGTTTAATTCATTGGAAAACAAAACTGATGAAATGGTGTTATTGCAGTACATTAACAATAAATTAGACCACGTGAAATTGCAGGTGAGGAAGAGAAGGCTCAAGGGGTATGGGAATGAGAGGTTGCTAGGAGTTGGAGAGAGAGGAAATTGCAAGGAGGCAGGGAAAGGCTATGCAGCACAGAGAATGGGGATGGGGACACTGCACCAGATAGGAGGGAGAGAGGAAAGCTGAAGTGGGGAGGGAGTGTGCTTGCAAGTAGAAAGGACATTTTTTTAAAGCCAACTAAATGTATAGATAAATGGGAGCCAGAAAAATATGAAATCACTGAGGTAATGTGTTCCTTGCAAATGAACATGAAATCTTTAACTGCTAATGTAAGCTGTTTAGACTATTAATACTCAGCAACTACGAAATGGGGGAAACAGTGTAGTGGATGCTATTGGCAGTTGTTAATTTCAAACCAGAGATTGAGAAAAGGGTATTAAACACCTGCTTAATATCTTCCAGCTTCAAGTATACATGATAGCTTTTGTATGTTGAAGTGTATGTGCAATTATTTTGAAGAAAGATACTTTTGTTGCTCAGTAATGCTTGTTGCCTAAGGCAGGGGAGATGGGTTGATTGATTTGTGCCTTGCTTACAACTTGTATGTAGAGGAACTGCATTGTGGCTGGGCAAACTGAACCATGATGTTAAATGGTTCTTGATGCCATTCAAATAGACTTAATTCAAGTGAGGGGCATGGAAAAGAATGTGGTAGTGCTAACAGCCAGTATAGTCAGAGTAATTGATACTGTTCCCTTCAGCCATGACCACAAATTCTGAAGGTTGTGTTGCTTTTGACATGTCCTTATGGCTGGAGATGTACTTGGCTGTGGAGGAGTTGGGGGAATGATCAGTTATCTTCTTGACTAAAGTAGGAACTAATGACATAAGTAGAACTAGGAATGATGATCTGCTGAGGGAGTTTGAGAAGCCACAGTTCAAAATAAACAAGGAACCTTAAAGACAGTGTTTCCTGGGCCATAGAATCAAACAGATTAAAGAATTAAACACCTAATCAAATGTGATGTGGAAAGAAGGGAATTAAATAATTTGCAGAGCAATGGCACCAGAATTGGGGAAAGAGGAAGATGTTCCATTTGGATAGGCTTCACTATTACTGGGCCGGTACCCAGTGTCCAGGCATAGCATAGAACTAGGGCTTTAAACTAAAAGTCTGAGGAAGGGATCATTTGAAGAGAAAATTGGACACAAAAGTCAAGGCAAGACAAGACAGTAGTGTGATGTTTTGAGCAAAAAACAGTGTTAAACAGAAGATAGAGTTTGACATTAATACTACAACCTCAAAGAAGGTCCAAGAAAGAAAAGTTAAAGTATTAATTTATACCCTCTTGCCAGCTGGGTTTACCCATCACCTTAATTCAGCAATTTATGCCACTTTAAGGGATCTTTCCTGCCAGAATTGGCATTTAAATGTGCAACAGGAAAGACCTACAGCAAGCAGCCAGCAGATTTCCTGTGCTGGCTGGTGGCAAAATGTGGGTGAAATAACTGCAGAGGCTGGTATCCTGATACCATGTTACCATTAAGTTTACATGTGCACAGTACACTGGCTGTGGCCAGCCAGCTCAGAGTCAGTCCCCTGACCTGAGGAGATTCAAATCTCCTATTAATATTGGTGGCCAGGGCTTTCCGGATTTGCCCAGGTTAACAACCCCAATCAAGGCCCTTGTAGAAAACAAGGCCCACCTACATCCCTTACCCCTAAGTCTGTAGACATAGGCCTGGTCTTTCTCAAAGCTTTTCTTGCAACATTTTCACCCCAGGTCCGCTTTCTGAATCGGACTCTGATACAGGTGGTGTGCCAGACCGTAGCCCATCTCTTGTCTCCAGTGTCTTGGGAGAGAGAGTTTCCTCTTCTTCCAGTGATAATGGTATTGACGCTGCATCCATCTCAGACTGTTTCCTCAGCACTAGATGGAAGGGAAGAAGGTACAATTTTTGACAGGCCTTCTGGCTGTTCTGTCAACAATGGATTCATGGTTATCATTACATAATTAATTCCAAATATTTGTTGAATTCAAGTTCCCACCACAATAGATGGTGGGATTTGAACTGGAGTCTCCAGAACATTATCTGGAGATCTGGATTAACAGTCTTGTGATAATACCACTAGGCCATCACCTCCCCTCACCTATGAGGTTTGTAGGGGAACTCAACCTCAACCTTGCCTCAGATGCATACAAGGCCATTTCCATAGTTCTGGTACCAGACTTGATCCCCTAAATTAAATTGTCTCTCACTTAGAGGAGGCCTGTGGCATTGGCATTCCTGCTGCTGTTTCACCCACCACTAAGTCTGGGAATATCAGGTTTAATCTGGTGTGAAGTGTTCTTTCCATCAGCAACTCTGCTTTAGCTATCCCTGTTGTGTGGGGTGGGCCTATGATTGAATAGGCACTGGGACCATCTGGTATCAAGTGACACTGTAGGGTTCTTCTTTAAGCCTGCTTTCAACATATGGACCACTGTTTCCACTAGACCATTGGACAATGGATGGTACAGAGCTGTCCTTACATGCCAAATGTCATTTGACTTCAGGAAACATTTGAATTCCCTGTTGATAAGTGACATCCCATCATCCATGATCAATACTCCCAGAGTCAGTGTATCGCGAATGATGTTCACAGCTTCTCAACCATCATCCCGGAGTTTGCTGAACAAACTTTATGCACATCCAAACACTGAATGAGATTCCACAACGACCAGGAACATTGAGCCCATGCAATGACAGGCATAGTCGACATGCAACCAAGTTGAGGGTTTACCTGGAGTGCTGCTGGTGGCAATTGTTTGTCCTTGGTGGCATTCTGGGTGCTGCCCCAAAGCAGCTACTTCTGCATCCAACCAAACATGCTTCTTGCTAGCATCTTCATCTTGGAATTCCCTGGATGACCCTGCTGGAGTTCAGCCAGTATCTGGCAGCAACCTTTACTTGCAACAATTACCCTTGCTCCCCACAGTAATATGCCATCCTCTATGGTGAGCTGGTCTTGCCGTGTCTGGAAAAGATTCAGTCTGGTTACAATGGCCCTCCTGTTACCCCCATTACCACCAGCTGTTTTAGTTTCACTAGGACAGGATCTTTGTGACAACAGTCAGATATTGTCAGTGGTGACTGGAAGGATGTCCAGCAATTTTAGAACCAAAACAGACTCTTCCAGGGGAGGCACCAGTGGAATATCTGCCAGGGGGACATGACTCAAAGCATCCTCATTAGCCATTTTGTTTCCTGGACAGTGCTGTAACTTATATGCGCTGAGAATAAGGGTCCAATGCTGAATTCTACCAGAAGCTATGGGCGGCATGGCCTTGTCCTCTTTGTAGCCCTAGCAGGAGTTTGTGATCTGTTACTATGAAAAATTTCTGTCATAAAGGTACTGTTGGAACTTCCTCACACCAAAGATGATTGCCAACCTTCCTTCTGAGATTTGCATTCAGCATCAGCCAAGTCCAGGAAGCTTATGCCATTGGGCATTCCTCTCCATTGGGCCACAGATGAGCCAGCACGACCCTGATGCTGTATGGGGAGGCATCGCATGTCAGCACTACCTCACTTCGATTGCAGTGGGCCAACACCTTAGATGACAGTGGCTGCTTTTTCACTTCCCTAAAGGCTACTTATTGGCCACACGACCATTTCTGAGGCTGATTCTTTTTCAGTAGCAAAACTAGGTGTATGGGTGCCAAGATGGAGGCCAGTTTACGTATGAATTTTCCATGATAATTCACTAACCCAAGCATAGACCTAAGCTCTGATATAGACATGGGAGCCAGGGCTCCTTTGATCGCCCTCACTTTATCCTCCAACTTGGGGCACTGGGAACACACACTTTTCCCTTCGAAGGGAGAAATGTTTAAGCACTATGTCCAAGTTCAAGTGCTCTTTTTTGGAATTCCCAGTTAGTAGAATGTCATCCAGATAAATGACAACACTAGTAAAATGTTCTCTATGGTTCACTGGAAAAGGGCACAGGCTGATGATACCCAAGTGGCAGTCTTGTATATTGTTATAAACCCTTATGGGCATCAATTGCAGCATACTTCTGGGACTCCTCATCCAGTCACAATTGCAGGTAGGCTTGGCTCATGTCCAGCTTTGTAAAGGACATTCCCCCACCAACTTGACATACAAGTGCTCTACACAAGGATTCAGTATTTATCCAGTTGCGAGAAGCAGTTTATGGTTTGCTTAAGATGCTCAGAGGCAAACTGAGCCTTTTGGCTTCACTGTCAGTATGACCAGTGCTGCCCATTCTACAAACTGCACTGGTTTCATGATCTCGTCACTCTCCAACCTCCTGATTTCCACCTCTACTTTTGCCCACAATGCAAATGTCACCAGGCAGGCCTTGCAGGATCT